CGCTTCTTTCGTGCTTAGCAACTTCCCGCGTGCATCCATAACTCAATAGTGCACGCTATGGCGTTTACCATTTGTTAAGTAGAAGACGTGACCGGAAGTAAAATGTACAATTTTGGGAGGGAAGTATTCCGGGATTTACATATTTATAGTTTCGATATTCTTGTTCAATTTCAGATATCGAAGGCTTGTGTCACAGTAAAAAAGGAATTAAACATTACCCAATTATTAGATTTACACACTGAATGTCCAAGGAACAATTTGATGCTAAGAATGTCTCTTCACAATGCTGTACGCACAAACAACATTGACGAAGTTCAAAAGCTATTACAGAAACATGGAGTGGACGTTAATGTAAGGGATTCTCTTGGTAATACCGCCTTACATCTTGCGAAAGATAAATCCATAGCTTCTCTGTTGTTTAATGCTGGTGCTCAACCGAACTTGCAAAATGTGGAAGGAGATACAGCTCTTAATATGTGGCATGTGTTGAACTTGGATAACTTTGCATGCTTCACTGGTCCTTCGGACCGGTTAGAAATTACAGGGTTGTTCTCTGATCATCGCAAACTGTTAGAGATCATTTCTTTGTTGTTAGAAGCTGGCGCATCACCCAACATACAAAATAAACATGGCTATAACAGCCTCCATTCGCTGTTTGTCTATGGCGGTACTGCAGGGTTAAGCTTAGAACCATTGTTGATTCATGATTTCATTTCGCTTCTTCTTCGATTTAATGTCGATGTGAATATGGTGGATTATGAACGATGCACTCCTTTGCATCATGCCGTCAGTGAGCCTCACATTATTAATGCTGAGGTGCTCATTAGGTCAGGCGCTCAAGTTGATGCCCAAGACTATCGAGGAATGACCCCACTACAGCACATGTTTCACTCTGATAACACGGAAATGATCCAACTTCTACTGCGAAGTAATGCTAGTGTAAATTCACAAGACATGGATGGCCGCACTACGCTGTCCTCAGCAGCAGAAGTTGGTAATGAGCCTGTGGTACAATTGCTTTTGCAGGATTCAGGTACCTGTGTCGACCTTGCAGACAAGAATGGCGTTACCCCACTCCACCTTGCCGCTGGGTTTAAACACGTTAATCTGACTGAAATACTGATCCGAGCTTCAGCTGACTTGAATGCGCGCGATGTTTTGAATGCAACTCCGCTCCACTTTGCGGCATATGGAGGCACACCAGAGATAATTACCCTGCTGTTAGAGGCTGGTGCAGACGCTAAGCTGACAGACAACGCTGGTTGGCTTCCAGCTCAGTATGCTCTGTCAAGACATTATTATCACACTACTTTAAAATTTGGGGAAGAATACTGCCATGATATTGCAAAAAATGCTCTGAATCATACGAAGATTAAACCGAGCACTACAACTGATGACATTATTGTTCAAAGCCTTCCAGCTGATGATATTTTTACTATGATCATCCCCGCTTCTAAAGTGTATTCAAACGTATTTGACTCGTCCATTGTACCACAAGATTTGGGGGATTATATGAACGCCAAATCTGCTGGAAATGTTTCTGGTTATTTACACAGAATGTGTTTTGTCCCAGGAGTAGGACGGATCCCCGCAGACATGGCGGAAGTTGAGAATATGAAGCAAAGTATCGAAGAATTCATGTCGAAGTGGGTGGAGAAAATTGCTGAAATTGATGACAGGTTCAAAGGCATCTTGCTCCATTCTGGAAGTGTTTACGAGGGGACAAAGGTGGGCGATCCAGACGAATTTGATTACATGCTGTGCCTAGAAAGGCTGGCCCAGGTTTGCTCCATCATGTTTAACCAGGACACAAAGTATGATGAAGTAACAGTTCACAAAGGGGTGGATGAATCACTGGAAGGTGGCTATGATAACCTTTTTGATGGCGAGCAGCTCGAGAGTGGCAAGGTTATGAGTGTGTTTGTAGATGTGGCTAAGAGGGCATTGACACTCCTCGACCAAACCACACTAGCCAGGGAGATGTACGTCGAAGGTCTCACGGAACACACTCTGGTTGACGATACATGGACTCTTTCTGGAACTGTTACCTGTAATCTGAAATTCAAGTGGACTGGTTTGTTTTACAAACAACTCGTGATTACGGTGGATTTAGTTCCTGCCATTCCTGTCCATCATTGGCCTGAGATGGCCCGAGAAGTGGGCAGTCTACTGACGGAAGATATTAAATCCCGCGGATGCCATTTGGTTCCAAAGGCTGGATATTGGAGGCTTTCATTCTCTTTGGCAGAGAGACTGATGATGGGCAGTCTATCACTGGAGCAGAAGTCAGCATTCATTGGAGCAAAAGTTATGCTACACCCCTCAGTGTCTTGCAAGATAGTCATATATGACGATTCCCAGACCTCAGGTGATGCGGAAATTGGACTAGAAGATGATGGCCACATGGCTGCTGCATGTTATGCAACAGATGATCTTACTCAGAATGTGCGTGAATTTCAGAATGAAAAAGATGAGGCCACTAATGTTAGTGGTCATAAGAGAATGAAAAAGATGCAAGATTATGAAGAAGTTGACAGTGATGCTCGCAACAGTGACAGCCGTAGCCTACACGAAGAACACAAATCATCTTCAATTTCCTTGCGAGCCACTATAGTAGGCAAGGCGGTGTTGTCTCCATCTGGTGAAATCACTACGGCGCTAAAGTTGCCCAGTGCTCAAGGTAACGAAATGTTGCAAAAGTGGATGCAAAGTAATAGCGATAGAGCAACGATTGATTTATCTACAGATCCTGTACAGAAATTTGTCGTGCACGAAGAGGCTGCGGATACGTCTGAAGACAGCAGCGATGTTCCTGTCAAAACACTTTATCCTTTTGACATTTTGTCAACGTATCTGCTTAAGAACTTGTTTTTCAACTGCATTGAGGAAAACAAGAAGGATACAACTGGAAAAACGGTGACAGCTAGAGAGATTTTCAGCAAACTGTTTGAGTCGTTAACTGAATGTCGTCCAATTCCCTATTTTTTTATACCCGGTCAAAATTTCGTGGGACTGGAAAGATTAACCAACCATGATGAAAGAAGTGAATTAGTTTTAGTTGCCATGGTGATAAACTCTTTGCTTAATGACACGTGTTTGGATGTTTCCAAAACAAGTTGATGAGTGCTTAAAACGAAACAAATGGATAATGTCTATTGGATTGTTTGGTTTCTGAGTCCTGAGGGACCCGTGTGACCCAAATCTTATTCTCCCGGTGAAAAAAAAAGGCAAATCCCAGATCCCATTTCACCCCGTCAGGCCCCTGTTCTTTATGTTATCTTTTTCCAAGAAGTCCATACGTACGGGCATAAAAAAAAGGTGAAGCCTAGGAGCCGACTGGCTCTTAGCTGCCGGAGCTTATCCCGGCTTCTGTAGCATGAAGCGGCTAGGAGTATTTCTACTCCCCCTGGACGGGATGCTAGTCCATCGCAGGTCACTCTCCTGCAATTTGTTAGGTTTCCCCAACAATTCGCCGCTACCCATTTATACTCCTGGGTGGAGAGAGGCACTGTGAGAGTTAGTGTATTGCACAAGAACACAACACAGTGTCTCCGGCCAGAACTCGAACCTGGACCGCTCAATCCGGGGACGAGCGCACTAACCATGAGGCCACCGCGCCTCCCGTTCGGGCATACCTGATGTTAATGACTGAGAGGTCTGTACCAATTATTATATTGACGGAATTCCATGAAGGAAGTCACGACATGACAAGAGTGCAACACTTGTCATTCTGATCCCGGCCATGAGCCGCGATTCTTTTGGTCAGCACCAGAAAGTTTGGGTTACACCAATTCGGGACCTCCATTAAATTAGCAACTGCTTGTATAATGACCTCCGAGGGAACCCGATTTGTTAAACTCTCAATTTCTCTCTCTCTCTCTCTCTCTCTCTCTCTCTCTCTCTCTCTCTCTCTGTTCTTTCCCTGGCTTCCTTTGTCTGGACAAGTTAAAACGTGATTTATTATGTAATCAGTCATTAGCTCAGGCGTGGTCACGTGATCTTAAAAGCACTGGGCGCTTTGCATTCAACCAAAAATTCCAGTTTGCATTTCCTGAAATTTCCAGTGGCGAACGAAACTGCATTTTCTACAATTTTCGGAAATAAAGACCAGCTCGCGAGGTATACCAAATTTTACAAAGTTTCTTTCCGGGAATTTCTATTTCATTTGATTTTAATCCCAGAATTTCTGGTTGGCGTTTCGGAAATTTAACAATGTTCGGAGTTTTCCGGAAAATTCCCTTGGCAATTGTCCCCGTTTCGAAAGTGCAGTAATTGTTGATCAAATGAAAGGCGCCCACTGTTTTGTTTGTTTATTTATTTTAATAATGGGGCCATTTATACAGAAAAATAATCCACGGCTTACACAAGCCGAGGATTATATTTCTCGTATAAATGGCCCTAATGGTGAAGTGTTAGTTGTTTTGCGCTACGTGGGTTGAGATTTCCGGGCCGTTAGTACACTCTTAATAGCGGCGGGAAAGCATTTAATTGCATTAAGCCACCTCTTAATAGACTAGCTCATTGGTAGAGCTATAGCGCATTATTGAGAAGACCGGCAACAAAGATAATGTTTCTGTCAAGCCAAGTTCCGGTAGAAAATGGTCCTATAAAATATTAATCTCACGTTTACGTTTTATGCCAGAGAAACCACTGTAAAAGAGTAGCTTAACTTAGCTTAGTCGTGCCACACCTTTCTCAGACCAGTATTGTAGTAAAAAAAAAATCCTTCGTAAAACTGAGGCAGATCGTTAATATTTATGGTTTAACATTGCATTTGGTAAAAAAGGAAAAAAAATCTTCTCTTTTTGTTGAAGTGGCCTCATCAGAATTAACTAATTAAGGAGTTGTCAATGGAGAAATGTTAGCAAAAAGTCTCGAAATGTCATTGATTTGTCTTTATAGCATTTACGGCGATATTTGTGTGAGGTAACAATTTAATCCATTCGGATTCTTAAGCAAAGATAACAGAAACGTTCAGGGAACGAAATCTTATTATTACCTTAGTTTTGTGTGCAGCTGTTATCCTTGCGCAAATCGTCCCTGGCCTTTTTCATATTCAAATTGGCATTTTGATCACCTCAGAAGCAACCCATTAAACATCCCAATCAAGGAAGTTCGCGGAGTTAATAGCCTTTCAAACAGATTTCCTACAAAAACTATCTGTTGGTTGCCTGTGATAGCAGTATAATTCATGCATGCTTTTGTTCGATGAAAATAAAATATACATATTATTCAAACTCAATTTACTGCTTTTTTTCATTAACGTGAAATGTCGACTTAGATTCAGTGTAAGTGGAATTTCATTTTAAAGCGCAGAACTTTGACTATTGGGAGCGAAACATGAAACCACCTTGTTTAATTGTCTAATAGCCTCAGGCGGTCCCATAATGTATTTTTTTTCGTTTACATTAGACTGAAGATAAAGTGATTCACAAGGACCAGATTCAGTTAGCTCAGAACCGCTTGCTGACATCTCTTGGTTTCGCGTAATCCGCCAACTGATTTCGAAGAGTATCTTAAAATGAGCTCACTGCTTAATTGTACACAAAATAATACGGACCCATTCTTGAATATTAGCGTGGAGAACTGTGAACTGTTCGCTGAAAGTTCGACGTCTGTAAAATGGCTTAAAACCTTTGCTTATTCTGTAATCTTGCTATTCTCACTTTTTGGAAACTTAGCTGTGATTCTCATTGTTTGGAAAAACGAACGTATGCGGACAACTACGAATCTCTTGATCGCCAACATGGCCGCTTCGGATTTACTGATCTCTGTGTTTGCTGTCCCACGCGAACTCACGGAAACTTTTGGTGGTAAACGAAGATGGCTCATAGACGGAGTTTTGGGTTTGGTATCGTGTAAGCTTGTCTACGTGTTTCAAGATATATCAACTGCGGTGTCCATACAGAGTTTGGTGATTATTGCCATCGATAGGTACCGAGGGGTGGTGTACCCATTTCACCTCCCACTTATCACATCAAAAGTCTGCAAGGCTGTAATTCCCATCATCTGGATTATTGCTGTAGGTCTACACAGCCCGTATTTCTACACTGTACGACTGTTGGTGCAAGATAACAAGTGGTATTGCGAGTTCAACTGGGCGCCAAAGTTTGACAACAGAGAAACTCAAGAAAAATACTTTGTCTTCATTTCAATAATTTTAATTTTCCTTCCTCTGTGTGTCATTCTCACGTTATATACTCGCATTGTTTTAGAGCTAAAGAAAAGGAATAATATCAACAGCACGGTATCAGAACTTAGACGTCAAAGGCAAAAAGAAGATATCGCAATCGTTAAAAAGATTCTCGCCATAGTTTTTCTTTTCATTGTTTGCATCGTGCCAGTTACCATAATGGCGCTTTTATTATATTTTGTATGGAATTGGACGCTTCCATGTGGAATGGATAAATTATATGTAGCTGCAAAATATGTTTTCTATTCCAACGCCTCTTTAAACCCTTGCGTTTATTTTACTTTAAACAAAAAGTATCGCCAGGGATTAAAAGATTTAACAAGATGCTTATCAGATTCCGCGCGGGAACGAGAGTTAGAAATAGCACTGCAATAAGCATGTTACCACAGAATTATTAACAAATAAAAGTGATCAATTTGAGAGTTAGAGTGTGATCCAGAAAATGTCAAAAAAAGCCACAAAAGAATATAGTAAATAGTGAAGTTGAAAGGTGTTTTCAAGATTCGAAAAAGAAAGCATACTAAATTGTGTCAATTCGCTTATATCAAGTAGCTTAAATTGTATGTAAAATGTGCAGACGACAATTACAAAAGACGTTCAAAAGGGCATGTAGAAAAAAACTTAGCTGATAATGGGTTCGTCGTTCGACAAAAATGGAAATAAATGATAAATGACATGTGGTTGCCTTGTCTTTTCCTGATCGAAGAACGAATCCCAAAGAAGAGGAGTGAAATATGAATTTGAATTTCGTTCAGTATTCGTTCCATGCAATAAAATTACGCCTGGACAAATATTTACTGCCCGAGGCTACAATCCCTGAGCCAATTAGGGTAGTCGGGATTTCACGGTAAAAAGATATGTACGCGAGATAAGGCATGAGAACATTCATATTTGATTTTAAATAAGAGCGATAAAAGGGCTTAAAAGCAATTGACTTTGATCACTTTGGTGCTAGATTGCTCAACTCGGCTCCTTTCAGTTGTGCTCTTGGATTTGTTGTATCAAGTACTCCGATACAAAACTAAGGAAATGCGATGCGCTAGGTATTAGAAAGTATCAGATTAGCCAGGATAAGATCAAGAGATGCAAAAAAATGATACAAAAATATCCGGTTCCGTTTGATGATAGATCAGTTGAAAAACCTAAATTATTCCTTGGCTTTGAAGTCTTCGACCTCCATGGCGGTTATCGCAATCTGTGATCTGATTAAAGATTTTGATGAAGATGGTTTTGAAGACGCTTTCAGCATTCTATCAATAAAAAAAATAAGAACTTTGGCCTCCGGTGGCGCAATCTGCATAATGACATTTTCGAAACATTTCGGAAAATACTTTTCTGCACCTCAAGATGTTGGACTTTGTTGTAGGACTAGAAAGTAATTTAAAAATACGAAGCAATACAGCGTGCATTTATTTTATTCTTGAAAATTTCAACCTAGAAATGGCAAATGCTGTTCTTAAGAGAGTAGAAAATGTTTAAGCAAGCAACCGCAACGATGATCTTGCTGGTATACGTTGGATCAATAGTGATCTAATCGGCTTTACATATAAAATAAAGAATACAAAAGCAGAAACCGACACAACGTAGGATGATTTTTTGAAGGTGTACTATATTTCGGCTGGCCAAACCAGCCTTCTTCGGGTACAGCCTTCTTCATTGTACCTGAAGAAGGTTGGTTTGGCCAGCCGAAATATAGTACACCTTCAAAAAAATCATCCTACGTTGTGTCGGTTTTTGCTTTTGTACTCTTCATCTTAAGAGAGCCTCTCTCTTGATTTAAGAGATTTTCTTATTTTAGGGACCTCTCCCCTTTGTAAGGTCCTTAAAAACGCAAAGCGACACAGAAGCCGATCGATGGATCGATCGCAGATCCCCTTGACAGGTGCATTATTCCTCACTTTCTCTTGCCCAAGGACATTACAGTCAATTTACATGAGGTATGAGGTAGTATTGTGACAACTGCTTGGTAGCCCGGCCAAATCTAAGATGGCGAACAGTTTTGAGTGGCCCTGGCAATATAACTTTCCTCCATTTTTCACGTAAGTGTCTCCATAATTTGGCACAACCCCAGGCTGGTATTAAACGGTATTGACATGACAATTTTTTCACAGGCTTCAACCGAATTTAGACACCCGAAGGAAGCAGATAGAGGGCTGGTGTGATTTAGTACTTGCTTACTACAAACATAACAAAAACTACATTCTCGATGTCACGGAAGCACAGACCAGCGAATTATTTTGCAACAAGAAAATTGATCGTATCCTTGTTACATTAAATAATCGTAGTTTATGCCAGGGACGTTATCAAACCTTCAGCTGTGGAAAAGGTTTGTACAAGTCGAACCATTCCTTGACAAATGTTGATCAGGTAAACTGTCCATAGATGCCATCAATGTTATCTTAGAAGAGCTACAGTCAAAAGGTGAATAGTGCTTAATTTTGAGTTTAATACTTTGTTTTGCACCCCACTCTCCCCACCCTCCACCCCCCCCCCCCCCACACCTTTCCCTGGCCACTTCACTCATGGCCAGTTCTTCCTTGGTCTTTTCAGCAGTGGCCAGAGCCTTCTTAGCCTGATTTTCAGACATCCAAGGTTGTTCATGGCCACTTCGCTCCACAAATGACCTCGGATGTCTGAGAATCAGGCTAGATCCTTCTTGTCCCTTCCTTCTAGCTGGAACCTGTTCTCAGGCCAAGATTGCTTTCGGGTTATTTCATTTTACATCCCCACCTACACACCCCGGGGGGGGGGGGGGGG